AAGGGATGAAACACAGAGACTGCGTCATAAAATGTCTTCATACACATGACATTCAAGTGAAATCCTTCTATTCTTCTATTTCGATTGCTTCTTCTTTCGAGAGTTGCTAAAGAGCAAGCTGATGACGGTTTTAACTGCCTGGCATGCACCCATGTCAGTTTAATTTTGAAAAGAATAAAAGTTTCTTGAGAGATTTGGTTGTCCCACTGGCTCGCTTGAGCTCTCAACCTTCTGCACGAGAGCAGCGCCATCCTAATTTTGTCCCATACTCAGCAATACCCTCTAAACGTAACATTTCTTAATTTTTAAAATTTAAATTACCAATTTCCAGCCGCATTATAATATACACTGTGTTGAGGGCTTATAAACTAATCTGCTTAAATATGACAAGATTCGAGAAAGCACTTAAAGTAGGTGTATTGGAGCGGGAAATGTAGCAAAGCGAAGGTCTGGGGAATCCAGAAATAGCTGATTTGCACCATGTTATCTTTTTCGTTTATAGTAATGGATGACAGTAAGGTTTACACCATTGAATTTAAATTTTTTCTCATTTCAAAATTGTAGTTTCCTGACTTGCGTCTTCGAAAAATTTAGTTTTTAGTATCGAAATCATCAAATTTTGCAAAATTTTAATGCTAAAATTGTCAAATTTTAAATGTAACTGTCTTAAAAAAGTATACTTTCTTTAGCAATTTGCGTAGCATTGCTTGGATATTTTGTTCGTGATTACGCAGGGAAATGAGTACGCTTGCTGATAATTTGATTAAATAAGCATTTTTTTTTTTCACGGAGTTTTACAGTGAGAGGTAAAGAAAAGGACGAAAAAGCGCCATTCAAACGTGGCCATCATCGACGCTCTTCCTATGATTCCTCGCAGATTCAGCTGCTTTATCGTCCACGTTTTGCATCTGCAGCTCACAAAACAGTCTTTCCGGTAGTTCGCAGCAGCCTTGCAGCATCAGATTGTGCTTCAAGGTGAGAAAATTTGGTGTAAATCTTTAACCTTTTCTCTGTTACTGGTCGTGGATTTTGTTATAAAATTCCAAATAATAAAAATTGGCGCAGTAACAAAAATCCAAAGATCTGCTTTTGATAAACAGGGTGATGGAATTTTATTTTGATAGATAGGCAGGCTGATAAATTTATTTATTCTGTTGAAAATAGCCCATTTTTCAGTAGTTTTCAACTTCTATCGCTCGATTTTTTTTGCCCAAAAAATCTTAGTCGTAAATTTTGCTTCGACCAAACTGTTAATGCATGAACACACCATTTACGTTACGCTGCATACAACGCTACTTTTTTTCCTCTTCTGTGCTCGGGTTTCTTTTTTTTATGCGTTTTGTACTGCGTAACAGCAGTACAAAACGTATATTGTCACGGGGGTTGTCTGTGTATTTGTGTGTGTGTGTGTGTGTGTGTGTGTGTGTGTGTGTATGTGTGTGTGTATCCGCAGCAACTTGTCCGCAACTTCCAATTCGGGAACCACAAAAGCTAGGAAGCTGAAAAATTAGGGTAACGTTCTCCACCCACGTTTGACCCTGCAAACTTAAATTCAGCTTCCCTGTATCCGCGGGTAACGCGTACGGCCCCTTGAAAGTTTTTTACAGGTAAATTAATATCTCGGGAACCACGATGAAATTTTAGGGTAATGATCCCTGCCCATACTCAACCTTGCCCGTTCTAATTCAACGTTCCCGCGCTCTTTAGTGTCACCTACGGCCTTGTGAAAATTTTGGCGGGTAAACTATTAACTCGGGAATCACGGAAAGATTTTCACCCTTCAAGGTTTCGAATTCAGCTTTCATGCTCTGGTGCATGAAATTTTTATCTTTTTTTCAATGTTTGAACTATTTTTGCATAGACTAAAGTACAAAGCAGTGAAAATCATCAATAAGCAATCGTTCGATGGGCCGAATTGCACAAAACACATGATCCCACCGGCTAGTCTGGCCGCGTTGCTATTTATTTTAAACGAGTTAACTGAAGTATTTATAAAAAAGCTAATATCACTGAGCGTTTTAGAATTCTTGTTGCGGGCAGTTTATCAAATTTTAACCTGTATTGTGGTACCTGGAAAGTGAGGTTTTTTTTGCTTTTTTTTTGGGTTGTTACCCACTCGTTTAATTGGGATAGCAGTTTTCCGGGTGGCTACTTTCTTTGACCGAAGCTGGTCAGTTTGGTCGGCTTGGTACTGGTTTTTCCGTTTTCACCCTTCTTTGTTTCGGCAAATAATTGCGAATTCTGGTGTCTTCCGCCTGCCATTTCCCCCGCACTTTCGACATCCAATCTGCTGGATTGAGACAGTGAAAATTCCTCGTTCGCTACTATAACTAGAAAACGAAGTATTTCCGATTCTTCGTCCTCGAAAGGGGCCGCCCGCCGCCCTCGGAACTGGTTTTTGGACGCGGTTACCGCAACGACTAATCCATTCCCCTTGTTTTGTTATTCGTATTCTCTCTCTGCCTCCTTGCCCAC